GCGGCAGATATGCATCTCTTAGCGGCATCTCCACCACAACTCGCGCACCGAGCCCACGGCTAAGCCAAGGCTTAATGGTATCCACCAACCATTTGGGATGGTTGGGCGAGTACAATGGATCCGCAGCGAGAATCACATCAAACTGCTCTTCCGCAGTTGGAAGGGGCGACGGTATGACCGACCAGTCAAGCAAACCGGTGGTCACAGTGGCCTCCGTTCTGCTGAGGAGTTCGACGTTCAAGGCAGCGTTGTGGGCGAGGTTTGGGACAATCTCGGGCAAGTCGGTGAGGTGGACGGTGGCAGACTTACCTTGCAGAGCCGCAAAGGAAAGCCCGACCAAGCCTGTTCCGGCACCGAGTTCAAGTGCCCGCAGCGGTTTCTGGGGGCTGAATGTGGTAGCCGAAGCCGAGGGAACAAGTGCTGGTGGCGATTCAAGGTTGTGAAGCCGGCGCGAGAGAAGATAGGAAGATACCCAAGTCTTCATACCGAGGTTGTCCGATGTGATTGATGGTTCGTGGAGGGTCAGCGTGTATTCTTCGCCGGAGGAGGTGGGCACGCTGAAGGTTCGAGACATTGCCGGCATAGCTTGTGGCAAGTGAGTCACGGTCAGCGGGATAACACAGCTAAATAAATGGTGGCTTGCTTACCAGTTCGGCCAGACCGTTCACTTAATCGTGAAGCAGCCGTATCCCAGATTGCCTCCCGGAGTTCATCGGTATCGAGCCATGCCAGTGGACTGGCAATGATTGATGTGAGATACCGAGTCACTCCTGCAGGCTGGACCGCGGGGCCTTTGCGGACATCGGCTGTTGTGCCGAATGTGCGTGGCTGCAAGCTCAAAAGAGCCAAACCTTTCACCAGATCGGTTCCCGAGGGCTTTTGGTAGAGCTGCGGGAGATCAAGCACTGCGCTTATCAGTTCCATTATCTTTTGTGGACCGAATAGACTAGAGGGGTAGATTGTGAACTAACCATGGAGAGGCTCATCTGTAGCACTGATCATAGTGATAGCTGTATGTTTTCTATGTGTTGCTGGAGATGAATGCAGGGCAACAAATTGGCCTCACTGCCAGGAGAATCGGACGAAATGTGGCGGAGAAAAAAGAAAATATTCCCAAAGAGGAAAGGCTGGCGCTGCCGTTCCGCGGGTTGATTGTAGCCTAGATTATCAGGCATCAAGATATCAACTGGGCACATAACTAGCCTAATTGCTGTAATTGTAAAAGGTCACTCGATCAAAAACAAGCCAGAGTGGGTATATTAAGCTAGGAATCACTGAAGATCATGTTAATACATGAAAACATAATGGTATCTCTACTGTCCATATGAACGCCTTGCCGGTGCACCAGAAAATGATTCCCCGAATCAGTTCAACGTCGCCTTGAAGCCTTGATAAGCCTGTTCGATATCAAAAGCAAGTTCGCGCGCTTGGTCCTCACTTAATTCCTCAGTAGCTCGCATTTGGTTCAATGCGATCAACCACTGAATGATCTTGCCGCGGTCTTCAAAATCGGTATCGGTCACCTTGTTCACAGACTGGATCACCTCCGATAAGAGTGGATGCAGTGCATCTTTGGATACCATGTTGAGTTTCAATGCATCGAGGAAGGTAATGAAGTTCTCGGTTGCTGCCAGAATGAGACTACCTGAGGCACCACCAGCCGGTCCCGTCGTCGCTGCGCCCATACTAGAGGTTGGCCCACCGTGAGAAGCTTGCTCAACTGTGGCCGGAAGACCAATACGCAATCTCTCAGTAGCTCGTGGGCATTCTAGCTATATTGTGCAACCCTGACGTTAGATATGCCTTGGAGTTTGCGGGGTAAAATGGAGATGAACACTCACCCCCCACGTCCGCTTGAAGGTTTCCAGGTCCACGAATTCCCGCGACACTGCCTCATCTCCAAGACTGGACTTGTATTGCTTCAATAGCCGTGTGCATGTCTCGGTATATTCTGCCTCGGTGACCACATCCTTGATGTATGCTTTCTCGAGTCCATCGAGGGTGACAATGATGCTGTAGATTTCGGCTAGTGATTCGTACAAGTCACGTTCAGCTGAGCTGGAGGCTAGTTTGACTTCCTAAAACAAGTGACATTAGTCGATATTACTATCAATGCGGAGACAAGGATCCATACTTCATCAAGGTTGATTGTGGCCGACCGGGCGGGATTGGGTGTGTAGCTGTAGGGGGTTGGCGCATACGAAAGTGGGCGCTGTGAGTACATTTTGCTGGCAAATTCTCGCTATGTATAATAATCGTCAATCATCAATCATCAATCGTGAGTTTGAAGGTTCAATGTTGTCTGTTGATTGTCTGGACGTTATCGCCCGATGCCAAAGGCGGTCAGAAAGGCGGACCCGCTGATTTTCTCCCCAATTTTTTTTTGACCAGCCATTTCCCGACCAAGCTACACTTGCAGACTCTTTTCTGCATCACTCTTTCAAAATGGTTGGAGGCAAAAAATCGACCAAGAAGTTCGTGCAGAACCGCCTCCCAGATGTTCTTGAGCGTCGCAAAGCGCATGCCAAGATCAAGCAAAGACACCAATTGAATGACAAGCGCAAGGAAAAAGCCGCTGCTCGCCGCGCCGAAGCCGAAGCCGCCGATGAGGCGAACCCTGAGGAGAAGAAGAAGGAAAATGCCTTCTCCGAAATGAACGTCGACGACTTCTTCGCTGGTGGCTTTGATATTCCCGAAGAGAAGGGAAAGAAGGCCAGCAAGAAGGATACCACCCCCAAGATTGGCAAGCGCAAGCGCTCAGAAGATAAGGCACAGGCAGACGCTGAGGCTTCTGAGGGCGAGGGTGACAATGATGACGCAGACAGTGTCGATGCTTACGACGAGCACAAGGATCAGCTGGAGTCACTGAAGGACAAGGATCCTGAGTTCTATAAATACCTGAAGGAAAACGACTCTGAACTGCTCGATTTCGGCGAGCAAGGCGATCTTTCAGAGGTTGACGCTCTGAGCGAAAGCGAAGAACCTGAAGACGAGGAACCGGCCAAGAAGAAGAAGAGAAAGTCCAAGAAGGAAGAGGAGGAGCCCGAGGATGAGACCCTGACTATTGCGATGGTCAAGAAGTGGCAGACACTTATGGAGGAGCAAAACTCGATCCGAGCCATGCGCCAGGCTGTGCTTGCTTTCCGTGCGGCCGCCTATGTCAACGACCCCGATGCCCCCGAGCAAAAATACACCATCTCCGACAAGAACGTGTACCACCAGGTTCTTATCACGGCCCTCAACACCGTCCCCAAGGTCCTGGCCCACCATCTCCCAGTCAAGGAGAGCGCTTCTGGCAAGATCAGAGTGTCATTGGAGACCAAAAAGTTCAAGACCCTCACACCTCTGATCAAATCGCACACTGCTTCGGTTCACCAGCTTCTGCTTAACTTGTCCGATGCATCGACACTCAAGTTGACCCTCGCGTCAATCGAGCCCATGCTCCCTTACCTTCTTCAGTTCCGCAAGGTGCTGAAGACACTCGTTAAGATTGTCGTTGGAATCTGGGCTGATGTGTCCACCGCCGATGCCACCCGTATCACAGGTTTCTTGATTCTGCGCCGCCTTATGGTTCTGGGAGATGCAGGCATCAAGGAGAGTGTGCTCAAGGCCACCTACGAGGGTGTTGTCAAGGGTAGCCGCAACACAACGGTGCACACCCTAGCAGGCGTGAATTTGATGAAGAACTCCGCAGCCGAAATCTGGGGCATTGACCAGAACGTCTCATACACAGCAGGATTCTCCTTCATCCGTCAACTGGCTATGCACCTGCGCAAGAGCATTACCAACACCTCCAAGGAGTCCTACAAGACCATCTACAACTGGCAATACGTGCACTCGCTGGACTTCTGGTCCCGAGTGCTTTCACAGCACTGCGATGGCCTTGTCGAGGCTCAAATCGGCAAGCAGTCCGCTCTGCGTCCCCTTATCTACCCCGTCGTGCAAATCACCCTGGGCGCCATGCGCCTTATCCCAACCGCCACGTACTTCCCTCTGCGCTTCCAATTGACTCGCTCCCTGCTCCGCATCTCCCGCGCCACAGGCACCTATATCCCGCTTTCAGCTTCCCTTCTCGAGGTCCTGACCTCAGCGGAGATGCGCAAGCACCCCAAGTCCAGCACCCTCAAGCCCCTGGACTTCAACACAGCGATTCGCGCACCCAAATCCTACCTGCGCTCGCGTACCTACCAGGACGGCATCGGTGAGCAGGTCGCCGAGCTCCTCTCCGAGTTCTTCGTCCTGTGGTCCAAGCACATTGCGTTCCCAGAACTGTCTGTGCCTGTCGTTGTCTCCCTCAAGCGCTGGCTGAAGCAGGTCTCTGCCCGCAGCGGTGGAAACAAGAACGCCAAGATCAACCAGATGATCATGCTGCTCGTGCAGAAGGTCGAGGCTAATGCCCGCTGGATCGAGGAGCGCCGTCTGAACGTCTCTTATGCTCCCCGCAACCGCTCTAACGTCGACTCTTTCCTCAAGGATGTTGACTGGGAGTCTACTCCCGTCGGTGCCTTCGTCAAGACACAGCGCAAGCTGCGTGAGGAGCGTGCTGCTGTCCTCGAAGAGGGTCGCATCGAGGAGGAGAAGCGGAGAGAGGAGGCGAAAAAGAACGGTGGAGACGATGAGACTATGGGTGGTGTTGCTGGCAGTGATGATGGCAGCGAGGATGAGGAGGAGGAGGAGGAAATGGAGAGCGAGGAGGAAGATGAGATCGAGAGTGAAGATGAAGATGAGATGGAGATGGAGGACGAGTAGATCGTCTAGTTTTTTTTTTAATTTGTATATCTCCTTGTCCGTCTCCATGTCCATCTACTTCCACGGTTATTGCATGTGTCTACTTTGTTTACCAGGATACACCATGAGTAGTTACTCAGTCCTATAAAAGAATCATTTATCTTTAAAACTTCATATCATCATAGATCTCAAAAATCCAGGCTCTGTAAAACAGTCTAAACAATAAATCAGCCAACAAAGAGGGTATATCGTAAAAACAACCATTTAAGCATCTAAACAGACCCAACAGGCCCATGCTCCTGAGCCCAAGCCCTAGATCTATCTCTCCGCATAGCAGCATCCTCCTCCTCAGCCCAAGCCAGAGACTCACTGGGCAACATAATAGCCTTGTCAATAGCCACGGGCAAACCACGATGTCTACCACGCAAAGCAACAGCAGCAAGAATCAACTTGCTAATAGGATGCCACGCGCCACAGAACGAGTAATTCTTCCCGGGGAACCCAACACTAACACCCACACAACCGTACGCAGAGACAACCTCGAAGATAATATTGAAGGTGGAAAAAGCCACGGGCTGGGAATCATAGTGGTCGGACTCGGCGATGGCGATAAAGAACACAGCCAGCGCGATCCACCACAGGTCATGGCTGAGCTGGGAGCGAAGCTGCTGATGCACGAAGTAGCCGCGCGAAGTCTCGGATGGGCCTGGGCGGCCGAGATGTTGTCTGATTAGCTCCATTGCTACGTTGCTGCGGCTTGTGTTTGCTGGTGAGCCGGGGGATTCGTCGTGCGCGTAGATTCCTAGCGAGCGTTCTTCGTAGACGTTTGTGTTGCTGTGTGGGTTGTTAGATTAGGGTTTCTTGAGGGGGTTGCGTTCATCGGTTACTTACCGCATTGTGAGCGTTACTGGGTACGCGGAGACGTACTGGGTGGCTTGTTAGTTGGGGTTTGGTGTATGGGGTGTGAGACTAATATGTCTTACCATCATGAGTACTAGAGGTTTTGTTAGCATGATCCTTCAGTCCGGTGATGAGATATTGAAAGCACTTACCATAGAGAACCAAGAGACCCTGGCGAAGATCGGCAATAGTCACAACGTAGAATCCACCAGCGCGTACCGCTTTAATCGAGATAATTTGTTAGCTTGGTTCAGATATGATGCTTGGTGATATTAGTTGACAAACCTAGGGCTTGGAACAGTCCATCCAATACACGGTATTCGGTCGGAAGACTCTCAATGTCCTTGTTTCCAATAGAGAGCAGCTCGAATGCTGCCCAGTCGATACCGTTCAAAATGATAATCGTGCCGAGTAGATACCATGTATGGCGAGCAGGGAAGAGATTCGTATAGACCTGGCTTCATGATAAGTGTCTATATTCTGGAAGCTATTAGAGTAATGCAACTTGACTTACCCTTCGAGGATGCTCCAGGATGAAATCAAGGGTTATGCGCCACGACTGCCACTTTGGCCGATCCGGAAGCATGACCCTCATAATCCAGATAATGAACCGGAGGAAACATGGGAAGAGGGTGTTTCCAGCGAGAATCAGCAGTCCCATTGTGAGAAGTGGGTAGGCCCTGGAGAGTGGTCAGCAAGATTGACCATTGAAACATGACGGGTGTGGGCCACCTACCTCAACTGCAAAGCAGTCATATTAGCGTCCAGGAGCGACATGCCACTGTTCACGAAAGCCGAGACAGCAAAGAAAGCACCCGTCCAGAAAGGCGAGAGACCATTCGTGCGGGTCACAGCAGGATCATTGACTTCCAGCCAGACACCGACACCAATCATACCGAACATGATAAACAAGATGAAGTAAAGGAACACAACCACAGACAGAAATGAGACCGCCTTATACTCCACACCACCTAATTCGTCACGCTCAGCAGGAGTGAGATCGTGGAACTGGGAGTTGCGGGACACGAGGCCCTTGGACGCCATGTACTTCTGTGTACCGCGAAGAATTGCCTTGAAGCCAGACACCGAATCCTTCACGGCCAAAGGAACATTCGGCACTGCATCGCGAGGGTGGTTATGCAGATCCGGTCTCGCTCCGATTCCAGCCATGGGGAAGACTCGGTGGTGATGGTGACGGCAGGGTGTGCCGCCGATGGTTATTTGGTCATCGTCCTCCCATAGCTGTTCGTCACGAGATGGTGACTCCCCCGGTTTCACTTGGACTTGGACGGATGTCTTTGGGCGTGATTTGCAGCCGTGTCCTTCGGTGTTCTCGCAGGGGAGATCAGTCCCGGTGCTTCCGTGAGCGGGTTCCCGGTGCCTGACCTGGAGTTCAACTTCCGAGGGGTTACGAGTCGACCGCTCTCTTTCCCGTTCATCAGAGACACCCTTGAACTTTGCCTCGAATGCTCTCTTACGTACTAGAAGTACAGTGAGAGAGATAAGAATGGCATGGCCCAGGATAAGCAGAGTGAATAGAATTGCTTGCTGGAAGCTGTTCATAGTCGATAGATCCACCTGATCATCGGGTCATTAGTCTCAACACGATACATACAACCATACATGGGATGTCAGTCCATACCGTATTCAATCCAGCACCAGTCATAGCACTGACGCACAGAAAAATAGAGTCCACATAGGAAACGCTGAGCCATGGCGTCGATATCAAGTAGAAAATGATACTAGCGATGATGCTAGTGGCAATGAAATAGAAATAGTGCAGCGTCAAGAAATTCAAAGGAGGGAGCACTGCCATTATGGCGTTCCCGATCTTCCTCCGCCACTTGCGGACTATGAAGTGGTTAGTAAAATTTGATATTGTCAAGCCCAGAGGAACATACAGATTAGCAATGCATGCATTTTGATTAATTTGGCGATAACATTCCCGCGCGTTGGGTAAATCGCGTGTGAGAATTCTTACTTGAGGCGTCGATGTAATGATGAAATGAAGTTCAATGCTTTTTTTTTTTTGGCAGGTTTTTCAAACGAACCCACACAATACGAATCTCGAACACCTCAATTAGAAGATTTCATGAGAATCATATAGTTAAAAGGAAGAAAAGAAAAAAATCCAAAACTTAAAGCTAAGCCGATTCGAGTATTGTGGGCTCTGAAATTCCTTAGACTAAGACATGCAGCCCTGTAGAAACGTAGAAATGTATAGAAATGTAGAAGAAAAAATTCAGTCTATCTAAATGAGAAATATGAAAAGATCAAAGGAAAATTTTATTGAAAATACGGTGAGCCTCGGAGAATTTATACGATAAGGTCACATAGAAAGATACCCTATTAGGGCTATTGAAGAAGATATATGTAGTAGATCCCCTTTAATTACTCCGTAGAGAGAATCTATATACTACATAGTCCTACTCTATATCCTTATAGCCTCTAACTATATAGCTTTCATTCCCGTACCCAATGTCCACTCTTGCCACCCTGTTTCTCCAACAATCTAACAGAATCAATAACCATCCCCTTATCCACAGCCTTGAGCATATCATAAATCGTCAAAGCCGCACCCATAGTAGCAGTCATAGCCTCCATTTCTACCCCTGTGCGACCAAAGCAGCTGACCGACGCCACAACGTGCATGGCGCCGTGATCCCTGCTTTGCGCAGGCCCAGCCAATTCCACACTAACTTCGACCCCGGTAATGCCAATGCCGGGATGACAAAGGGGTACAATATCCGGCGTCTTTTTGGCGGCCATGATACCCGCAATCCGGGCAACGCTGAAGACGTCGCCTTTGTGCGTGGTTTGGCCTTCGCGAAGGATTTCCCAGGGTCGGGGGTTCGAGAAGGAAACGGTGCAGGCGGCTGTGGCGAGGCGCTTTGTTTCGGGCTTTTCGGTGATCTGGGTCATGTGTACGGTCTTGGATGGTGTGAGGTGAGGAAGGTCGGCGTCTGAGGCGGTGGGTAGAGAGCGAGATGGACGAGTAATACGGTCTTCGGTCTCTGGTTTAGAGCGTCCGGAGTGGTAGAGACGACTCTGGGAAGCTGTAGGGAGATGCGAAAACATATGTACTGGGATGGTTGACCAAGAGGGAGACCCTGACCACAAAGTTTTCGGTTTATTATCTAGTTCATCTATCAGCTCGATGATTCAATAAACAATGTCCAATTCTTCAATTGCATGTATACATGGTATCAAGATATCGCCAATTTCATGAAATCCAAAAAGAAATGTTCATCTGAGATGATCTACAAGTCGTAAAGCGTTTCCAATCATGAAAAAAAAAAAGAAAGAAAAGAAAATGGCTACCCACCAATCAAGATCATAGGGCGGTTCTTCATATCCTTTAGTTGCGCCATGCCGGCGTGTTTCGCCTTCTTTCGTTTCACCGCCATGCCGATGATATCAAGAATCTCACGTTCTCGCTCATTCAACAAGCTGCCTTCATCACTAAGGCGCGCTGCCTTTTGGACTGTTTCCAACAGCTGCAGGTTGTTCATTGCATCCACGTCAATTGGGTTCCCACCGTTCTCCTTACGAATGATATCCCGCAAGGAGACCTCGGAGTTACCGAACAGGCAGACTTTGAGATTCCCATCGCTAGTAATGCGTAACCGGTTGCAGGTACCACAGAAGTTGTGCGTCATGCTCGTGATAAATCCCACACGGCCTTCGAACCCAGGAACACGATATGTCTTACTCGTGTCATTCTTGTGGTCGGCCACTTTTTCGAATGTGGGATACTTCTCTCGGATGAGAGCCAGCATCTCCTGATACGAGAACATCTTCTGCTGATTCCATTTGTTCCCGCCAAAAGGCATATACTCGATGAAGCGCACTTCAATCGGTTTCTCGCGGCCCAGTTCCACGAACGGGAGGATCTCTCGGTCGTTCATTCCTCTCATAACAACGCAATTAATCTTCAGCTTGATCCCCGCACCGACCTTATTCATTTCCAGAATGCGGTCGATGCTCTTCATCACGGCATCGAATCCCTTGCGTCTTGTCATGATCTGGAACTGGAACGGATCCAGCGTGTCGAGGCTGAGATTGACTCCCGTCAGCCCAGCCTCCACCATGAGGTCCAATTTCCGATGTAATGAGATCCCATTGGTTGTCAAACACAGTTCCCGAAGCCCATTTTGTCGCAGCTTGCCAATGTCCTGCATCAACGGTACGATGTCTTTACGGACTGTCGGTTCCCCACCCGTCAATCGTATTTTGGTCACACCTTGTGAGACGAATAGTGAGGATAGGTATAGAATCTCCGGGGAGGTAAGCAGTTTCGCAGAGGGCGAAAGGTCTATGCCTTCCTCGGGCATGCAGTACAGACACCGAAGATTGCACCGCTCCGTAACGCTGATGCGGAGATAGTCATGTTGGCGATTAAAGGTATCGGTGAGGAAGTCGGAGAAGGGTTTCGCAGACTTGAGTGTTGACAGTTTAGTGGGTTTGGTCGGGGTATGAGGGGGCAATCCAGGGGCGGTGGCGTTGGGTCTTGATACGGCGCGAGTGCTCTGGAGTCGAATCTGTATACCCCGGGCAACCCTAGGGCAAGGAAATATCCGCTTGCACAAGCCAGCCATGAGGAAATTCTTTCAAGGGGTAAAATGGTGCATAGTTGAGATGCAAATATATCTAAGAGAAGTACTCCGCGGAGGAATGAGGGGGAATCTCTTATCGGCGGGCTCCGTGCTGAGTCATGACCTCGGGAAGTTCCCCAAGGTCACTTATCACTTCAATTGGTCATAGAGTCACTATATCAATCTATAGCCGGTAACAACTTCTGCACCCGCTTCACCAGGCTCTTTTCAAACTGCTCTACCCCATTCTTCTGTTCGTTCATCTTACCTTGTTTAATCACATAGACCGATCGACGCCTGGGCGTTTCCTCGGTCTCTTCCTCCTCTAGTCCTTCGAAATCTTCATCAAGTTTGTGCTCGGTGTCTCGCTTGCCCTCGATTACAGATCGAACAAGGAAACGGTCGTGTGAAATTAGAAGCACAGCACCATTGAAGGAGGAGAGAGCCGTAGCTAATGCAGTGACAGTGTGGAAATCCAAATGCGTGGTGATTTCATCAAGAATGAGAAGCTGTGGTGCACTCCAAACGATTCGAGCCAATGCAAGGCGCACCTAGATGTAACAATATTATTAGCTTGCTTCAAATGTTTCACGTTGATTTTTCACATTTCACATACCAGTTGTCCACCTGATAGTTTGGCAACAGGGACATCAGATGCAATACGACCTGCTAACCCCATGGAAGCAAGCAGACCTCTGATAGCGCCCTCATTCAGGGATCCTTCGGTCTCAATTGTCAATAAGCCCAGTGCCGTTAAACCGGGCTCACCTCGGCCACGCTCTTGCAGCTCTTCCACAGAATGCTGGCTATAGTAGCCCACCTTCAACCGGGAGTGAGTTGACACCTTGCCCTTGGAAGGAGATACTTGTCCCGTCAAAACACGGAGCAGGGTCGTCTTCCCCGAGCCATTGAGACCCATAATCCCAACACGATCACCTAGGTGAACGACCAAGTTCACGTCATCCAGGATGACGCGGTCGGTTTTCTTGTACTGGAAAACAATACCCTCGAGTGAGACCAACGGTCCGGGGAACCGCAACTCCGTCGCATCGGGCAAGCTCATAGTCGCACCCTTTTCGTCCGTCGGAACTTCGATCTCAGCTCGATTGTGGTCATGCCATCCAACCAGATCCCGGTTCAGTTTGAAACGCCCCCCGTTTGCGCTGACTTGAAGGCCCATCCGATCATCGACCTTCTTCTGTCGCGACTTGGCTTGTCGCAGCTTGTTTTCGTCATTGGTCTTCTTCCCAATCTTCATATTCTCCCGGATACTAGCTTCCATATGTGCAACCTGCCGTTCTTGAGCCTCCTTCATACGTCCTAGGTAGAGCTTCTGTTCCTCGAAATCTTGCTCGTACGCAGACAGGTTCCCTCGGAAATACGTCAGCTTCTGCTCTCGGAGAATGACAATCTCCTGGCAGACAGCATTGATGAAATCCCTGTCGTGTGAGACTAAGACGATGGTTGTCTCTGATGTGTCGCGGAGTTGTTTCAGGTAGTTCTCCAGCCACACTACTCCTAGAAGATCTAGGAAGTTGGTCGGCTCGTCGAGGATCATGATGTCGGGATCTTGGACCAGAACACTAGCTAGCATACATCGCATACGCCAACCACCTGAGAGCGTAGAGACTTTCTTTCCGAATCCGTCTTCTTTGAAGCCGAGACCGAGGAGAACACGGCGAGCTTCTTGCTCCATATCGGCGAGTTTCATCTGGTTTCACGTTAATGGAGTAGGCGAATGGTCACCGTACAAATACCTACATCTTCGATTTGAGACTGTAAATTTTGTAGTGTCTCGACGGCAGCTTGGGTATCCGACTGAACTGTCTCGGCATCGATAGCATCTACGTCTTGGGCCAACCTAGCAAAAGTCAGATATAGCGGCTAGTGCGAATGAATGCAACTAACATCTCTGATGCAGCCTCGAGCTTCACCTCGGCAGCCTTCAAGTCTTTTCTTGCCTGTAAACCTCGAGCACCGCTCTTCAGGCTTGCATTCTTGTATGCCAGAAAGAGATGTTTTTCTGCTTTCTGCTGTCGGATTTTTCGGATTGCCCGCACAGGCTGCATTGGATCTTCAGTCTCAAAGCTCTTTGATAAAACTTGTAAGGTCAGTCAAGTACAATCTCAATTGAATAGGCATACTAACAGTCCGCCATCTGAACAGCCTCGTTCCTTGTTTCGTCGCTGCTAAGAACGGCTTCCAGAACAGTTTTGTCCTGATTAGGGTCTTCGCCAAATGGTTTGTCATTCTGTTCGTCTGTCTGTTGCAGAATTGCCATGCGAGTCGGATGCGGGATGCCAGGGATGAGTTTCTCTGCCATTGCCCGAAGGAGCGCTGGTAACATCAATATACTGAGCTTTGTAAATGGTACATGTGTAGGTCTGTCTCACTTGACTTCCCGGTTCCGTTGCGACCTAGCAATCCATAGTGAACGCCTGCCTTGAGTCGTAGGTGCGCGTCTGAAATGAGCTCTCTCCCTGCAGCCTTGGCCTTTGATTTCCCTTTGGTCTTTGATTTTGATGCATCTCCAGTGGAGTCAGGTGCAGATGATGTGACGATAATATTGAGTCCATCTACATCAATCTGTCAACAGAACAAATTTGAACGTTAGTGATCATCTGGGTTCATTGTTGCGGCTACCCATACCTCCTGCGAAGGGTTATCATCCAGCAGATGGAATCGTGTCTGCTTGCACGTTGCCAGGATTGTCGGGGCGGATGCCATGGTATCATCAAATGAGTTAGACTTCTTGGTCTTTGGGTGGTTTTTGCCAGGGTCCAGGTGTTAGATATCTGAAGTATTGTAGTTAAGTCGGTTTGGGCGGGTTCATGTAAAATAACTAGCAAAGGCACGACACTCAAGCCCCTTTGCAGAAACAAACTGCGCCACTATGACCCCATTAGACTTCTCGTCTCTGCAGTCATCGAATCAAATTTGAACAAAGGCGAACAAATTGAATGTCGCTTGACGACCATTCTGGGGTCGGGGTCCGAAAGAGGATTAGTTTGGTGCCTGAGGCAGTTACTCACATTCCTTGGCCATTTCGAGTCGCCTCTACATCCCGAGGTCTACATTTTACTATGTGAGCTATTTAGTAAATTATGAAAAGTCATACCTAAGTACTTAAGTACTTATAGTCACACTGTGACTCATGGTTCTTGGCTTCTGTGCGTTATTGTTTAGCTCAACTAAAAATATATATCGAGGGAACAGTACATCTCTGCAATATTAGAATAAAAATAAAAAATTCCAATGTAATTCCGTAGAGAACTAAAAACGAAGCCAATGTAGAGTCATCTATACAAGTTGTAGTCCTTTTTTTTTCTAGTCAGAATGTTAGAAAGGGCGCAGTACGATCATGCATCTGGGAACAGCATTGACACCCAGAGGCTCAAAAAATGACACCATATCACGGATATTCTCTTAGTCCCTCCGACACCTTGGAGAACGTCAAGACCTAGATCCGAGGGCTGGCCCTGA